TTCTGGCAGAGGATTGTATGGAGCTTCCAAGAAAATACTAGAAACGATTTTGAAACTAAAAGCAATCTGGAGCAGATTCCATTTACAAGTTAAAGTTACCATGGTGAAGTGACACTAAAAGACTCAGACTTGGGGCTGACGTACCGAGCTGATCCATTACTTATGCTCCGTAGTACAACTCTCTTATCTCCGGTGAACTTTCCTAACCTACATGGTTGGGCTAAATTGCTGCGCACCCTCCCCTCTAGATGCTTCTGCGGGATGGTTAAACCATCTCTGCGTGTGTTTTAGAGTGAGACTGTTAAAACAGTCCAATAAAAAATGTATAAACCTCCGGCATGCAGTTTTAATCAGTGATACTTAGCCAAGAGTGCAAATCAAATGAAGGAGACATGACTTCCTGACCACACTGTTTTGTAACTGTGTTAGTGAGGCTTACCATTACCCTGCATTCATTCAGACGATCAGACAGAAACTAAAATCTGTAAATCCTCATTGAAGCACCTGAAGTAGAATATTGTTTGGCTTTGTTGTTGTTAGCACCTAAAACTTTCCACCATTAAGTCGTCTCTTGAGCAGTCGATGAATAATGCTGTAAAATATTCAGGGGAAAAACTGGCGATATAAAGTGCTTTGCACTGGTAGTTGGGTGGATCATATTGATGTCTGTGGATAGCGGAACAGATGCTCTCTGTGAAGTTTCAGCTTCTTTCTTCTACTCCTGTTCTGTCTCTTGATTTCATTGAGCATCATCCTTCCCTCGAATGGCAACCGGCTTAAATGAAATGCATTTCTTTCCCCTCGTCTGAAACTCTACTTTTTGCATTCAGCACAAAGAGAAAGGGAAAACTGTCTGAAAACATGGTCCCCAAGATTTTTTTTCTTTTTCTTTGTAAATATTTCACAGCAAATGTTTTTCCTTTCTTGTCGTTTTTTCCCCCCACACATGCAATCTTTTAGGAATTAAAGGTCTAGCATTTCTGGAAACATTGCATATTATCATGTGAATGATGTTATGCTTAATCTCATGGGATATATTTTGATGCTTATAGTATGTGTTAGGAATGACTCTCAGCTACTACCACACCGAAGTTTAGCTAAAGTCTGTAAAGTTTGCTTAAATATAGAACATTTTGATTTCTTTAAGATCAGATGACTGTGGCAGCCATGTTTTACTAAAACTAATCTGTTGTTGATGTACAATCATCATTATTTTCTGAAAGATTTATTAAAACTCTGTTCAACAGATCAGTTATATTGCTAACAGACAAACGGAGGTTTATTCAAAAGTAGGGCTGCAATGATTAGTCTACGTAATTAATTTTGTTGATTATAAAATATAGTCGATGCAGAATAACAGTGTTGAAGCGTCACATTATTTATCAACATAAAGGTTTATTTAAAACTGTAATGCAATACATGAGCCACAGGGGGAAGAATTGCTTTAATTGCCTGTGGTTGCATTGTTTACAAATTGCAAAGTGCAGAAAAAGAAGAGGGCGTGGGTGAGTAATTTCAATGGGCAGTATGTTGGCGGAACAGAAAGATGATCATGACAAGGAGACAATAAAAAGACAAACTTACAAAAATTCTCTACATTTAACCAAAAATATGCCAAAAATAGTAAGATGTAGACTTGATTATTCCATAGAACATTAGCTGTTTATAAACATTTTGCACTTTAATTTGAATTATTTAATTTCATTGTCTTTAAGATGTTTTAATGTTAACCAAATTCAACAGTTAATGGCAGTGTTTAAAAAAATCTCATATTATCAGTTAGCTATATCATAAACTAGAGATTAGTCTCAGCTTCAAACACAATAAACTGTATCTCAATACCTGTAAAACCAGCTGAGATGTAGCATTTATTATGCTTGCTTTGCCAGTGGCTTTGGCCATGGTGACTGTCTTGAATTTTAGAGACTCAAAATGTTAAACACTTGAATAAAAGCATTCAGAAATTGTAATCAACTCACTTCAGTGATACAGGATATATAAATGGTAAACGGACTGTACTTGTGTAGCTTTTCTATCAAACCAGGACACTCAAAGTACTTTACAACAATCCATGTCATCATTTAGCCATTCACACAGCACTCTACTACATCTCTACAAAGCTGCCATGGATAAATCATTCTATAGAGACTATTCAGTGCTTTAAATCACATTTATAAACTGATGGGACACACATCAGATACAATGAAAGGTTCAGTGTTTTGCCCAGGGACACTTTGACATGTGACTTAATAGCAGTGGAATCAAACCCCCAACTTTCTCATTTGAGAGTGACCACTCATCCACAGCAGCCCTCAGTAACAAGCACACACAGACACACACACATTCAAACGGGGCAAAAACATCATCGCTCTTAGTGGCGCGCAATAAATATTCAGGGTAAAGCTGACAGTATGAAGTGCTTTGCAGTGGCATTTGAGTGGATTGTTTTGATGTTTTAGGGATAACTGAGCGGATGCTCACTGCGAACATTCAGCTTTCTGCCTTCCAACATTTTTCTCCTCTGATCTGTTTTATTGAGCATTATCCTTCCCTCGAATGGCAACTGGCTCTCAAACACAAATTTCTTAATCCCTACAAGGACGATAATTTCTGGACAAAATCTGGAAACAACTGCCCCCAAGTTCTCTTTATTTTTTTGGCATTGTCTCTCAGTACTTCCTTTTCCTTCCTTTTCTTTTTTTAAACAATACTTTAGAAAATCCAATCTCCCTTTCCACTGCTGTAAATCACACAAACTTGTAATATGTTGAGCACCGTCAGCTCCATAAAAGCTGGATCTATAAAAAGAACAATGTAAACATTTGCATTGTCCCTTCAAAGCAGAGGGTACAGCTAATATGCCCTTCCTGGTAAGGAAAAGAAGAAGGTAAACACTGAAATCATTGGTTATCTTGGCTCGTCGCAGGCATACTTTGAATTCCACTGTCTCCGCTCACTCTGAGTCGCCCGCTCTGACCTCTATCATCAACACAATCCCAAGAGTCTTCGCCGACCTCGTGTTTGTGCCGCACAGCAGCGCTGTCCGTAAATTGTGATTAGAAACCAAATTAAGAACACGCTGTGATTGCACAGTAGGGGGGGAATTTGGTTTCAAAACATAAGCCTGCGTCGTATGAAACGATGGCGGTGGGAACAAAAGGCCTCAGCAGGTAGCCAGGCGGTATGAGAAAACACACATCAAATCATCCCGACTCTTCCATACTACATATTTATACACAAACACAACTTTTTACCTCCCCACCTCACGTTTGATCCCGATAACAGACTGTTAGTGTTAACAGAGGCAAGAAAATGGCAGTTACTTCCCTTTCTGTGATGAGATGGCCGAAGGTGTGCGTGTCGGTCTGATGGGCAGGTGTGTGCCTGTTTGTGTTCGAGAGGGTGCATATTTATCTGAGTTGTGAATGTGCTCCCTCCTCTCTGCAGTGAACACAGAGATTTGGGGGCAGAATGTAATGGTTAATGAGCCACTGTTGCTGCATGGATGGAAAATAAGATTGATTTAGTAGACAAACATGTTATTCATAGTAGTGGATATCGTTCAATTCTCCAGACTTAAACAAATGTGTTAAAGACTAAATTAATTATTTACGCATTACTTAAAGAATGGCAGAAAAAAATATAAAGCAGCATTTTTGGTGGTCTCTTCCATACACCGGTTTATGAAAAGTACATTGGCAATGTGTTGTCAAGCATTTATTTCAGATTTGTACAGGGGCCATAAAGGGCTAACGATTATCTGCAGCAGGAGAGGAGAGCAGTCGTTGATTGCTTTTCATTTTATTATGAGTGGGAAACAGACCACAGTGGAAAGGGTGATTGATGATCCAGTAGGTATGAGGAATTGCTCTTTGCATTTGAAACTTGGCTTCATGATGATGAGGTTGAAATGTCGTCTGGACTTATTCATTCATGCATTTATAAACGTCCCCCAGATGAGTGGTGAGAGTGGGATGCCACAGTTCAAACCGTGCAGAAGTTTTCTGCTGTATTCAGATTGAACTCATTTTAAAACAAAGACACTGATTCATGATTTGGAAAATTGACTGTGTTTTAGATGTCCTCAAAATGCTTCAACCATGGGTGCCAATGCATGAGCATGATAGGTGTAACATTACTTCTTAAGCCCCATCTCCACCGACGAGCTTGCATGCAAATCGGCTTGGTTCAGCCTCAGCTGAATGCATCTCCATTAGGTTCCTACACTCAGTGCTGTTTTAATACCTCCTCTTTGGTGGTTCTAAGCGGGTAGAAGTGAATACAGCATACTTACGATTTTGTCATCAGTAGAATGCTGCCCGTAGATTAGCTCTGGGATTGATTGACAGAGGAAAGGTAGAGAGTGCTGCTTTTGTTTTGGAATGTGAGTGCATGGCACGAGACAACGACATGGCGAAAGCAGTAATAAAACCATGGTCTAACCTTCTTGGGAAAGGCACTTCCTAGAGTGCGGTGAAGGAGATAAAGCTGAGCAGGGAGGTTTCGACAAACTGACCGCCCTCAGTTACACAGGCACTCATAAACAGCACCGTGCCAAAAAAAATTAACTAAAAATATAAAGTCTGAACAGTAAAACCACAACAGCCTTTTTTTTTAAACACAACATCTGAAGCCACTGCAGACGATCCATCCATAATCACACCCACAGAGTAAGGGACACAGAAATGGAGACAACTGAAAAGAACTGAACAGACCTGAACTGAGTAGAATAGAACTGTGTTCATGAAGAAGTGGCTTAAGTCAGAGTTTGGTACGTACCTCATTATCAGGGTCACGAGTTGACATGGCTTGGTACCATACAAAAATGAAAAAAATATATAAATCAGTTTTGTTTTTTAGTCTGTTTTTTTAACAACTAAAAAAACCTCCCAGAATCACCTATCCCTTTATTATCATTACCCACTTTTTTCTGTTTGGGTCACCCTAGGCAGGTTGCAAGTCCATCACAGGGCCACATAGAGACAAATAATTCTTCACTCTCTCACTTATACTAAAGACAAGTTAGAGCTACCAATTAGCCTAACATGCATGGTTTTGGTCTGTGGGAGACAACCCAAGAATGCACAGAGAAAAGATGCAAACTCTACAAATGAAAGATCCCTGGTCAGGACAGGATTGGGCAACCTCCTCTCAGAAACAGAAAAACAAACTAACCTGTAATTTACACTAGATGCAGTTCTGCTCTGCTCCACTGAGGTGCGCAGTTCGCATCCGTTCCTTTGCACCCCAGTTTTCATTGTGTCCGCTACGCTCAGGTACGATCCGGTGCGATGCACAGAAAAGGTTCAAGACACATGTGCAGTTAATGTGAGATTGTTCAATAAATCCAGTGATAAATGCAGAAGTCAGAGCAAAACAATTAATTCTGTGAAAGACAAACTGCAATCACAGTTGAAACTTCATCGCTGTTGTCTTTTTGAAACTTCTAATGAAAAAAGTTCACGTGTGCACACATATTCTGCATGCTACATGTTGCCATCTGCCTTCCAAACAGAACAATACATTCTGACTGCATATGCATATATTCATTTACTGTATTTATTAATATAGCTGGGATTTCAACAAAATTAGTCTGCCTTTGGTGGATTATTTTGAAAATACTGATGTTGTAGTCGATCTTTTTCCTGTTGGGGCAGTGTGATCTTTGTAGATCGACTCCAGCGCAGCTCCGATATCTGGAAAAAATAGGATTGAATCTAATGTTGGTGGATCACCGTCCATTCTCCACCGCCCTGCACCATCGTGCACAGCCAGTGTAAATCTCTCATTGATAATAATGGTTGCGTGTTGGCTACGGAGGTCAGACCACAGCAGAGCAGTGTTAAAGGGCCTATCATACCTGATCTGAAGTCGAACAGTCAACACATGGTCATGCGGTTCTTCAGCGTTTGTTTTCGTACACACCTTTCATAGCCGCTGAGACACACTACGCTGAGCTCCTGGAAAACCCCTCCCACTGTCGTGCATGTCTTTCTACTGATGTCTACACTCCAAAATCTTCCTTTATAGTTGAAGCAAAATTCAGCGTGCAAGCTCTGAAAGCACTCAGATGTGCTTCTGACCAATCATACAATAATTTCTTAAGTGGAGGAGAGAGAAAATTTCTCCTGGCAGATTGTGACAAGTAGGGGTGGAAGAGGTGCAAACAAATGAAACAATTTTCGTCATGTAACTTCAAAAATGATCTGATTTCAACACTGTGAACAGAGTATATGTTGGTATTAATGGGGAGACTCTGAGCTAGCAGGTCATACAGCAAGGAAAGATTTGTCAGCTGGTGATTTTACTAGGTGCAAAAGTGGTGCAAACTGCATGACTGAAATGAGGATTTTGCATGTGCCTCTGGCTGTCACCATGGAGTGTTTGGGAGAGAAGAGTGGTTTAAAAAGAAAACAATAGTTTGAAGCCATAGAGTTGGAGGTCTTGGAGGAGCAATCATTTTTGGAATTGGTAAATCACATCACAAATCGAGAGGAGCCAGTTGAGGTGGTTTGGGCATCTAGTAAGGATGCCTCCTGGACGCCTCCCTAGGGAGGTGCTTCAGGTCGGCGTGGATTCTGCTACTTTACGGCCTGCAGAAGAGAAATGACAGCAAGTTCAATTCACACAAATATTTTTCTACAAATAGCAAAACATCCTTCATCTAATATTATTATTCAGATGATTTCCTTTTGGTTGGGTTCCATCTTCAAAAGGTTCTGATGTCAGCAGGGAGGAAAGATAAGCGGTAAAAAGGTTTAACTGATTTAATTTGCAAGAAGACRTTAGGAGAGACAAAAACAACAACAAACCCATTGATCTTACTTTGTCTTTTCTAATGAAACAGAAAAAGAGGAGAATTAAAAAACAGCACAGAACATCTATTCAGTGTGTTATTTGTTGTTAGTTGTAAGACTGGCAAAACTTCCCWAAGGTTATTTACTGAAAGCATTTTCCTTTAGTGTTCTGTTAGACGGCTCTGCCAGGCTCAGATACAGCATCTAGACACTGACAAAACACACATTTAGTGCTGCTCTTTTCATTTGGGTGTTATATTTAAAGAATAAAAAGTCTTGCATAAACTAAAAATGACTGAAAAACATAATGTAAAAAGTCCACTCCTAATCTGTTCATCCTGTTGTTTTAATTGCAATAATGWCTTTAGTTCCATAAAGACAAACTGTAAACAGACAGAGCATTCATGAGTTAGTTCAGCTGAGCTGGYATGTGAGCACACTGTAAAGTGTTGCCTCTGCACCTAACACACCAACCATTTTTCACTGGGACAATAAACAAATGATTATCTCTTATAAAGCCAAGGAAACTCTCAGGGGGAAATATTTAGTTGTGATTATTTGAAACACACAGGATACACCTAAACTTCTCTCTTTGATCCTGTTTGCAGTTTTTCTGCTTTTGGACTCAAACCAAATAAGATTTGGTCATGGCTGTTCACTATTTGCATAATGTCATCAAAATTCAGAAACAAAATTAAACTTGTCTGTGGACATTAGTTGGTGCTGTTAGCAAACGGTGAATAAGACTTGAAAATGTGTTCAGGCCAGGACCAACGTCAAGAGCGAGAACTTCGGCTCAGATCAGACCTTTGGTGTTATACTAATTTCCTGTTTCATGGAGAAGAATGGGTGCTGACCATGTACTGATGCTTCCATTGGTTTAATACAGAATTCATGTGAAGTTTGGTTCAAAACCAATGTTGTCAGTTTGCGCAAGAGCTTAGTTCACTTTGCAAGTAGTAAGTGTTTGAATGAATGTTGCTCCATGTCACTACTGTTAAAGACTTTTATGAACCACATCAGTGCTTTTTGTGGATTCTGTGGTTCAGCTTGCCTCATCTTCACGAGGCACAGGAGTGAGGAAGAATGTCAGCTTTGCCAAGTCTGAGGCCATGGTCCTAAGAAAACTTGGACTGCCAACTCCAGGTTGGGAATGGGTCATTGCTCCATGTGGAGAAGTTCAAGTACCACAGGGATTTGTTCTCAATGAAGCGACAGATGAGGAGGATCGGCACATCTGCATCACTGCCATGATGAAACAAGATCTAAACTGAACGGTAAAACTACCACTTTACCAATCAATTTTTGTTCCAACACCAAAGCTCTCTAAAGGCTGCTTTAAACTAATTCAACTGGCTGCATTCTAGACACCATCTGAGAGAGGCCTTTCAAATATGGCCCATTGGGAAGAGATTCTGGGCAAAATCCAAGGCCAAATCCAAAAATCCAAAATCCAGCCAAATGAAATTTTTTTCACAGTTGGCCTGTGAATGTTCTGGAGCCCCACTGGAGAGCTGGAGGAGGTAGCAGGGAGGGAGGGCTTGTGATCTTTGATAAATACAATGTGCTTATGACCTAGACGATGGATGGATGGATGGACGGATGGACGGATGGATGGATGGAAAATCACATTCTGATCATATAGGCAAACACACTAAATGGATTGTGTCTGCTATGTTGTTTGTTTGTTAGATGCAATCATCAGTGCACGCTGATAGTGGATCAGCTTTTCCTGCACATTTTTATACATGTAAACCATTGGTAGATCAGGCCCCCGGTGTTCTGTCTTAGTCATCCAATGGAGGATATAGTGTGTTCAGCAGTCTTTGTATGTGAAACAAAAACTTTGTTAAACTCCAAAACTGAAAAGTATCAATCTTTTGTTGTGGAAATAGATTCAAAAAGCTCTGCACCCACTGCTTTCAAAACCATTTGTGTAGATACGGTGTGCACAAAGTGCAGTTTGGCGCTGTGTGGGTGGTCTGTACACTCAGAAAGCACACAAACACTGGAGTTTTACCCACAGAATAATTACTTTGCAGCTTTAATTTAGATTTGACTTGTTTGATTTTTGACACGTTTCTTAGCTTTGCAGCTGCAAGAGCAAAATCTACTTCTTGTATTATCTGTCAGTGCTGAACTTGAATGCAGTTTGAACATACAGGTATACGTGCTGCAAGCTTTGTTTATTCTTCTGTTTCCATTTCAATCTTCAGTTTCATTGAAATGTGCCACTTAATTGAGAATTATGTGCTTGGATTTTTAGGAACAGTACATCACGTGGTGTGGATAAAACTTGCCAAAAATTGTGAAAAAACAAACCAAAAAAAGTGAGATGGTAGAAAACCACTGTTTCATATCTTTCATAAAAAAGCAGGAATCCCCTTGACAACCAGTGACACAACAGATCCTGAATCACTGAATTTTATATTATTCAGCAGGTTCTTTGTTACATTATTCCATCATAGATGTCCACATAAATACTTTATGATTTGAGCAATATTGTCATCATTAAAACCTATAAGTTAAGGGAAGTATAATAAAGGAAGAAGATATTAACTTGGAGTTTCACAATAAAAGCTTGGAGCTACCCCTTTGTCATGACTATCCCTGGTAATTTATACAGCATTCTGCACAAGACCATACATTTTATTTAATCTAGCAAAATTCTTTGTCTTACAGCAATCACTGCAATAAAGAAATTACTGAAATTACTTTTTGTGCCCTTGTTAATAGATTTCAATTTGCTGCCAATTAAAGAAATATTGTTACACCCACTTTAGCACGGGCTATTGTAAACCTCTGGGATTAATGAAAGGAAATTGCAAAATGTCCTCAAAGCATCATTTAAACTGTGAACAGGAGATTTTAGAGATGCATTACTGGGTTTATTTCCTTGAGTTTTTTAATAGCAGAAAAGCCTAAAAATCTGTATGAAATGCACTCTTTCATAAAAATAAAGGTCCATCTCTTGTGCAGAGATGTTTTGTGTGTATTTTTAACTTTTGTTTACGCTGCTGAGTCAATGTGAAGACACAGGTAATCTGGTATTCACTGAAAAGAGGATACATTAAGTTGCTTTTTACACGCTGACATGAATTTCTGTGACCTTAATGAAATCTCCTGGATATGTTTTAGACAATTATTATCCAGGATTACAGTAACAAAGTGCACTTACACAGCGTCTCTTTTACACAATGTTCTTTTCAGATGATTTTTGAGGTCACAGTGAGACACTTGACTCTACTCCTCTCGTCTTTTCTGCGTTTTTAGAGACAGTTGTATCGACACAAATTACCCTAAACCTTAAAGAGAGTCCTCAGTTTTCTGCCTGACAGTTCAAACGCGCAGAAAACTGAGTGCAGACTGATCAGTATAATGTTGGAAATTGTATTCTCAAATTGCTTATTTAGTATGTTCCGTTGTCTGAAATTTGATCTTGAAGGGTTGGGAAGGATCCGTCTTTATGCAGAGTCATGATTCAAGAGTTGATCTGGCCCAGATTATTAAAACACTATACCAGTAACCTAACAGACAACTGTGAAGGAAATAAAACAATTTCACGTTAAACTTGAGTTTATCTGTAGATTAATTCCTTCTTTTCTTTCTTTTGTAGAGGCTTGTGTTTAGACATTTTATTTGCATTGATTTGTTTGCAGTCATTTTTCTTAACAGTGTT